AATTTTAACCTACCTGTGTATTGATATATACGTAGTGTCCTATTACCAGTGGTTATGTAGAAAACAGTTTAGAGGGATGATAAGTAGAAAGTGCCATAGCATGAGCTTCTCAGTACCTGCTACTTAAGAAGTAAAAAGATGCTAATATGTCTGTTCACCATCATTTTGTTGGGTGAAGAATATAAATTCAATTCATGTACATATATTTAATACCAAAAATTAGAACTAACAAATAGGGCAGCAAAAATAATAACCGGCTGAGCAAAGAGCTGGGCTAAAGAAGTAAAATATGGTCTTCCTTACTCTTTTGTGTTTTCTTCTTCCACTACTAAAGCTGTTTTCCCAATGGAAGATTTTTGGCGTGTGTGATTGACCATCTAACTTATCCCTTTGTTTGTTGAAGTATCTTTCGCCCACATAAACACTTGCTAATGCATACAGTCATATTTTTACTTCTCTTTCAACTATTAATTTGGTTCTTCCTATGTATGGTTTTGGATGTGCGTGAATGACTTTTTAAGCTTTTCCGAGATTGACTGGAATATGCACTCTTGCCCTGTTTACATACATTTACTTCTCTTAGTAAGATTCACTTGGTCACATTATTGATATGTGTTCAACTTGTCACGCAGCTTTATTAGATGCAAGTTTGATCCGTCCTCTGGCAAAGAGATGACTCAGATGGAGATTCACAACTTTCTGAAGTCCGAAAAGGCCTCGTGATGGAATGTTTGATCGGCTTTCCTGTCCATGCAAGGAAGTATTTGCTTCCCTCAGTTGCACCTGCTTTCATAGTCATGGTATACGTTATTGTAACTATCATATATATAGTGATTTAACAGGGTAAATCGGTAGCTATAGCCAACAATTTTGAACAAGTTATGATGTACAGAACATCGACTTATTAGTATTCTAACAAAAATATAAGATACACAGTTGAATTTAGAATCACAATTGTTACCAGTAAGAAAATGTGTAGTTTTCTTCTTTGTTGCTCAACTTTGCTTCATTTACCTTATTTCTACTATGGGTAGAGATATTTTATGATTTCTCTTCACTTTTTTAGGACCTAAGTTTTGGGTTGATTCTGATTTTACTACCCATAAAACACAATCCTAGAAAAAGAGGGTTTTGTTTTGTATGCATTTTGGACATCTTCTTACTATTCTGATTTGCGATACTAGAACCGATTGTCTTTTGAAAACCGTCTCTCTATTTTCACGAAATAATGATAAGGTTTGTGTATGGTCTATCTTCTCTAGACCTCACTTATCTAGACCTCACTTATGAACTTTTACCAATTTTGGTCAACTGGAGACTTATCATGGCAAGAGTCTCACTACTATTAATGAACAATTTTTTTTTACATAAATTCTTCAGCATTAAGCTTCATTTTTATTCTTAAATCATTGTGTTGATGGGATTAATTAAACAAATGTTAAAATTTGTGTGATGAAAACATTAAAATTGTTTGTTGTGTCACTGGTGAAGTGCTTGACAAGTAAGTCTACCAAAGATGAATTAGCATGTCTTTTGTCCTTAGGGTTTCTTTCTTAGTGTTTCTAGATAGTCTTCTTGATAAAGACCTCCCATCTACTACTTTTTACATAACAGTAGACCGTAGTGTTCGGGTTAATTTACGCACATTTTAACTATTTTACTGAATACATCATTTTATCATCATTGATACCGGATGATTTATCAACCAAAATTTAAGCGGATGAAAGAAAATCTCCGAATATGAATTTTTGAATTTATTCATAATTTTCACTCATTTCATTAACCGATAGCCATACTTCTTTTGTTTTCATAGTGGCACCCTTGGCTTCAACCTTCTAGTAGAGGCTGATGTAGTGTTAAAGTTATGAGTTCGATTAAATTTAATATTTTCATTGTGAAATTTAGCTATGTTTGTAAAAAGAAAATCACTAAAATCATAAAATAAATATTACGTTTTAAACTCAAATTTTAAGATATAATAGATCAACAATAAACATCTAGAGGTGAATTTATCAAATGAAAATCTTGAATCCGCCGTAGCCTTTCTAGCTACTTTCTCAATGCATTTGTTTTAGCAGTGGACAAAGTCTTCGTTAAATAATATTTTCGACACAAAAATGTATATATGAGCATAAAAATATAACAATCAAATCGAATTCTTTTCGATAGTAAAATTCTAAATATTAAATTCATCAAAATAAAATTTCTGAATCCGCCTCTATCTTCACTACAAGAAACAGCTTTATTTAAGACCAATATTTATGGACGAGTTAATAATCCCGTCTCTGAAAGTACATATATTGGGACGATATTTTATTTCGGTCTTTAATTTCATATGTTATTGTGAAGGTACTAAATCTGGTCTCTAGAAAAAGTAGTAACTCGTCCCAAATTAAAACTTGGGTCTTGAGAAATTTATTGGAAGGCGGGAACATATTTTCACCAAAAAATTAGCCGCCTAAAAATTCATCAATTCACTAAAATTCTAAAAGGAAAAGAAAAGACGCTTCAATTTGTTTCTCAATGAAATAAAAAAGAACCCTAGCAGCGATCTTCCCTAGCTAACAATCAGCTTCCCTTACAACGATCTTAGTGTACTAGCTCTCAACTAAAAATCTGTGTTTTCTCAAAACAGAGAAAGCACAGGTCTGCCTAGCAGCAAACGCAATACAGGTCACATTGATTAGTGTTTCATCTCTATTTTCTCAAAACAGAGAAAGCAGAGGTCTGCCTAGCAGTGATCTCCACTCAATATATATCTTCTATTCACTCGGCTCTAAGGTATGCCTCCACTTCGACGAGTTGATTTGATTTTTTTCTGTACAGTTGACTTGTTGTTTGTTTTGTGCGAGTTGTAACTCATCGTCTTGTTTGAGTTCTTGTTCTCTAAGACTAGATGCTGATCGTTTTCTTAAAAAAGATTCAGTTTCGTAGTGTGATATGAAGCCAAAAGTGAAGGGGATTGATCAATCCTTAAAGAAGTTTGTGTTCCTAAAGATAAATAGTAATGAACTTGAAAAGAGGCACTAACAACTCAATGAACTAAAACAATATTAAGAGATAATATAGAGAGTGTTTTGTTTAAGTTGAGAAATCTGTTATGAATTACAAGTGAACTACTAACAGGGCAAGTGAGACAAGTGATTGCAGAATGTTACAACTGAATAAGTTAAAAAAGAGATAGTTTCATTTGGGTCTGAATCTGATGAAATATGTAAAACACAATAGAACTGATGCAACTAACCTCCTGTGGTGCTGCACATAGAAGATTGAATGAGGGATAGTTTCGTTTGGGTCTGAAAATTGGAAAACTTGATAACTTTCAAGAAGATGCATTCTAATAGTTGTTTAAAACATTCTTTCAATTTTTTCTAATTGGTTCTTTTATTTCTGTCTACTTGTATATCAGCTGTGCATCCTCTTTTGTGAGATTTTTTCCTTCTGTAAATTCAATTGTTGATTGTTTTCTTCTTATAGCATAGTGTATAGTGTGTTCCTAAAGAATCGATCATATTTTGACGATTAAATTAACACGAGCTGATGAACGATGAAGAAAGCAATAGAAAACTGATGCAAATTACCTCTTGTATATGATGTATATATTAGGTAGAAACAACGATAGTTTCATTTAGGTTTCAAAACTTGGAAAACTCAAGATTTTTCAATAGTTGGACCATATATATTTTTTCTGTAAAACAGAATCACTGGCTATTTTCTGTCTGTTCAACTTTCTGGTAAGCTTCCTCTTTTGGGAGCTGATTTTTTCTTCTTCTCTATATTTGATTTTTTCGAGTTACACTATACTTGTTTGAATTACTCTTCATCTTTGAGATTATCTGGTCAATTCTTTGAAGTATATCATAGTGTTTCGTGTGTGTCTAAGAAATCGATCATATTCTTTTACAATAAAATTAACTCGAACTCACAAAAGATGTAAGAACAAACAAAACGGATACAAATTACCTCATGTGGTGTTGTACATAGAAGGTAGAAATAGTTATAGTTCCATTTGCGTTACAAACTTACCAAACTCGAGATCTTTCAAGAGATACGTTCTTATAGTTGCACCATATATTCCTCCATTCCTATCAAACTCACAATCACCACAAATGTATTAAAAAAAACTGTAAATAACATATTGTAATTAACTTTTAGAAGGTTAAAGATGCAAGTGAGTTCTTATCGTTATACTTCCTGTATTCTATATATAAAGGTAGAAAATGATAGTTCTTTTGGTGTAAAACAATGATAGTTCTCTTTGGGTTTGAAACTTGACAAACTCAAGATATTTCAAGAAGAAACATTCTTATAGTTGCACCACATATTCTTCCATTCTTGTAAAAGTCAAGCTCGACAAATTTACCCAAATGACTGTAAATAACAGATTGTAAGTTGTGCGCATCTTATAATTATCAAAACGTCTGTAAATAACATATTGTAAGTTGTAAATAATATATTGAATTTAATTTTGATAACATAGTGAACTAGGTACAAAATCACAAGTTGTGTGCATTTAAAGTTTTTCCTTATCGTTTATATTTTCTTATTCTATTTTTATGTATTCTCCAAGGTTATGGCACCTAGTAAGAAATGGATGCAACTTTCTCTTGATAAACGGGTTGACCAAGCCTATTTAGACGGGGTGCAAAAGTTTTTGGATTATGCTTTTCGGGATAGGAAAAGAAAATGAAATATGATGTCCATGTTACAAATGTTGTAATACAACATTAGGAACTCGTGAGATGATTGATACACATTTGAAAGTATATGGAATAATTCAAAATTATACTTTTTGGTATCACCATGGAGAACATTTAGGTAGCCAGTGTCAAACTCTGAAGATGAAAATGATGATGAAGTAGAAGATTATGAGAGTGAAGATGAAAGTACAATA